GATTTCTCAATTTGCCCTCACATTTCAAAACATTTCAAAAATTTCGCAATAGTAAACATCTTTCGTAATTACACCTATCATATATCATTCTTCTCTGTGAGCCCCTCACAGTTGGTTGTCAGTAATGCCGTCCTACAAAAGCAGAAGATCTCACAAGAAAAGAAGCGAACGTCATCGATCCAGATCTAGGAGCCCTAGACATCACCATAGAAACTATTCTAGTTCTTCCACAGCTTCTTCATCCAACTCGAATTACGAAGATAAGAATAAAAGAAAGGAAGGAAGGACGAAGCTCCAGATCGGAAACCAGGTCAAGATCCAAGACCAGATCTATTACTAAATCTAGATCCCGTTCCCAATCACCTACTAGAACCAGAGACATCGACTTTCCCGAGCACGTAGGACCATTGCGACGACCAAAGATTCAACTTGCAAGAGAACACAAATCACGGTTCGAACTTTTGGCGGCCGGTCAACATCTATCAACCACGGAGAAAAAACCCCTGCTGTCCAAATGCGCTATAGTAGACAGCTCTGCAGCGACCATTCCTATTCTAGACACGAAACTCCGATGTCCGTCAAAGCCGGATTCCAGACTTTTGGAAATACAAAACGACTATGAAACTCTACTCAACATCCTCAACTTGACCAGCATCCTTAACGTCATTCTGGAAGAAAACAAGAAGGAGGATACAGAGAGAAGAAACAGGTTGATAAAAATCTTGGAAACAATTACTTCAGCAGGAATTCGAACTAAACTAATCCACCTCCGAGAATACCACCTGAAGAACATGGGCATCTACCGACCTACCGCAGACATGCCATCCTTCCGCACTGCCCCCCTCGCAAATAAAGTGATTATCAATCAAGCACCGAAGAACATGCAAGACAGATATTCGGCAGCAGCCTCAGAGCCGAACTCAAGAATATTAAGAAAGAGCCAAGGCGCAGTAGTAGATCAAGGTATGTTATTCCTTCCACGTTATCTTGTTTCGCGTTTTGGCAATCATTATCGACCGACTCTCGTATTTTACAAGCGGTGTCAGGCTATAGAGTACCCCTGTGTAGAAAACCCCCTATGCTACCACGAAAGGAAGATAACCCCATACTCCCTCTAGCAACAGCAATAACAGAACTATTAGACCAAGGAATTATCTCAGTTTCGGAAGACCACGAAGTGTTTTACTCTCCCATATTCTTTATCAAGAAGAAAGAAGGACAAGAAAGACTGATCCTCAACCTTAAACGTCTTAATTCATTCATCGCAACCGAACATTTTAAATTGGAAAATCCCAGGAACCTACGGGATATAGTTTCAAGAGGTGACTGGTTCACCAAGATAGATTTTTCTTCAGCCTACTATGCAATACCGATCAAAAAGGAAGACAGACGACTTCTAGCCTTCAGGCACCAAGGTATTACATTTGTCTTCAACCGATTACCCTTCGGTCTATGCACGGCTCCATTTATCTTTCATAAGATAATGCGAGTATTAGCCGGGGAACTACGACAGCAAGGTATTCGATGTGTGAATTACCTAGATGACTGGCTGCTAATGGACCGTTCACAAGAAAAGCTAAGCAGCCAAACAACACAGGCAGCAGAGTTGTTCAAATCCGTTGGATTTTCCATTAATTCAAAAAAATCGGAGTGGAGACCAGCGCAAACGATAGAATTCCTTGGTATCCGTTTTAATTCCTTACAATTATCATGGCAGATCCCAAAGGACAAGAGATCAGAGATAGTTGAAAGGATAGACAACCTAATCAGCAAGAAAAGGATCACACCTTTACAACTATCCAGCGTAATAGGGAAGTTAAACTTCTGTACGATTGTCCTACCTATTCTAACATTTACTATTAGAAAACTTAATAGTGTTCTATTAGATATGTTAAAGGGAAAAAGATTTTCTAAAAGAAGCTTTGCGGAAAAACATCATGTCACCAGGTATCTTAGCAAGGAACTCACCTCATGCAGAGCAAAAGCAAAAGAACTACTAAAGGAGGAAAGAACG